ATTTATCCGCCTTACGCTCGGCTCGCGCGCGTACTAGATATAGATGCGTAACTATCCAACCCGCCCACGGTCGTACTTTCGCGAGGTACAGGAAATAGGATGAGCCGCTATCGCGCGCGCGGCGATAGAGGACCGGAGAGTGCGCGCGCGAGAGAGCGACGACACGGAAGAGAGAGAGAGAGAGTGAGTGAGTGAGAGAGGGGTGGGAGGAAGAGGGGGGTGACGAGTTATAGCAGAGCGCAGATAGATTGGAGGAGAATTATCCATCCTGCCGCCATATTGTTCTTTTAGTAATCCCCTTTCCCTGCTCGCCTCGCACCCACCTACGCTTGCCAATCCCCTTCCCCCGCTACTCTATTTGCCCCCACCCGTCTCTCTACCCCCTCCCGAGCCAAATGTGCCTTTTGTTCGGCATAGCAACAGCGACGTTAGAGGGCTACTATAAATAGATCGCTACGACTTTCCAGCGTTGCCAGAACGACTGGCCCAACGTGCTGCGCAGTAAAACTAGGCGGCCAAGGCCACAACGGCAACGTCGCAATGCTCGATGCGATATGACCTAATCAACCAGGAATTTCTAACGTAGCACACTTTACCGTCTCTTACATAAGGGGTTTCTGTAAAATTGTGCAAACTCGAGGGAGCGCGCGTATGAATAAATGACGAACGCTGGCATTCGAATGTCGCGCGCTTGCGAAATTTTGAAAATTATTCGGGGATATCAATCACTCGGACGTTAGGAGAAACGCGCTAGGAGAGGCTCTCCAGTTTGCGCAATTGCGCGAATTGGGCCAAGATATGCTTTCGTTATAGTTCTTTTTTTTTATTGCAAGTTTCTCAAGTATCGATCAAGCGACGTTGCTTTTCCGCGCGCGCGTTTCTATGTATTCGGGTACATGGCTGAAAAGCGAGACAGGAGAGGGAATGGGCGTGCCCGGAGCGCGAGAACCGGCAACGCCGCGCTCGTAAATCATGATTAAAATAATAAGTATAATACATATGTAGTACATAGGCGGCCGGCGGGTTTATGTACGTAGGAACTGCGCAATGGCGCGAGCAGGAGCCGACGTCTGGCTGGGTTCTGCGCAACTTCGCTACTCCCACCCTCGGTATGTGCTTCCCCCCTCCCCGCCCCGGCGGGGCGAATCCCACGGGTGGGCTCCAGGAGCGATGGAGAGCGACGGAGAGCGACGAATCAAGCGCGGCAGAGAGGGGGGGGGGGTGGTGGAGGGAAACGCTTGAGAGGGGAGAGGAGGGATGGAGGGAGGGATGGGGGGAGTGGGAGGGCGATACCTGGAAACCGCGACTATATACCCCCGCGTTTACCAATCTTGGCACTTTGCCTGAAAGAGCATATCGACCGTGCGACGTTGTCACATCGTCCGCGCGATCTTACCCGCCAGTCCTGGCTACTCTTTGAGCGGTATGTACCTAGGCTCCTGCAACCGGTCCGTGCTACACGAGGCGCGCGATCCGAGATGGGCGGTCGTTTCAGAGCTATCCACGCATCTCGCTATCGCGCGGCCCCCCTCCCCCTCCCCCCTCGTTCCCCTCCTCCCACTATTTTCTCAGAAAATCTCGAGGCCTCTTGACCAAAAGTGAAACGCTAGCGCGTCAAATGAATGAGGTCCTTTTTCGTTTTCTTTTTCTTAGGGTCAACCGAACGTGACACGTTTACTTGAAAAGGGACGAAGTCTTATTTATCGTTTTCAGTGGTCGAAGTGGAGCCAACGATTTCAAAAGTTGGCTCTACGGTCTATTTCTAGTATCTCGTTCAATAATCGCTTCTAATGGTATATTGTAGATTGTCGTGTATGGGCACGTAGGATTGTCTTGTCGCTCCACTTTTCTAGGTTTTTTCCCCGTTCCTGCGGAATTTTGCAAGGCACCCGTGTATACAAGGTAGATCGTTAAACTCTACTCCTTTGACATATCGCACACAATATGACCCGTCGGACAAGTAGAGTGTACATTTCTGTATACAAATGCGATCATGCACAACCCTATGATTATAGGCCGAGTCAAAGGAGCTTTGCGTTTAAAGATAATGTCGTAGAGAAGGTTCTTTCTTAAATTTTAAAGATACAGGGATTTAATCACAGGGCTACATCTGTGGCCGTCGTGGAGGGAGCATTTATTTCCCGGTCACTCCAATCGTTATCACAGAGCCGAACGTGCCAATTGTCTAAAAGTGAACAGAGCCTCGACGACGCGGTCTCGTTCCGCGCGACTTTCTCCGCTCTATACGGACATTCCGTCGGCCGGACTCGCGATTTATGCGAAATCTATCGATCGAACGGGGGCTCGTGGCGAGCCGCGTCCACGCGTCCCGCGGGCGACGGGGAAAAATAACGGGGAGGGAAAAAATCGCCTCGGATGAGAATGAGCTCGGTATACAGGGTGTCGCGGAATCGGCGCGGCCTCCGGCACTTCCGGCCGCGGACCGGCGGCCACTCATCGATCGGCAACGGCGCGCCGAGCGCGATCGCAATTTTCCCGACGTCCTCGGGAGCCGGGGCGACGCGTCTCCTCGGAGGGACGTCGCGTTGTCACTGCCGCGCGCCCGAAGAGCCGCGCTCGCGCGCCAATCCCCGCGAATACCGAGGCCGGTTCAAGCGCGGCCCGCCGAGGACGACACTGGCGAGAGAGCGCGCGGTGTATCTAGCGCGGTACACTCCGCGCAAAGAGTTTGGGCGCGCGCGAGACACACCGCTCGCGTGGACGACGCGTACCGCGTACCGCGGAAGATGCCTAGTGTCCCCGCGAAGCCACGGGTGGTCAGCCGGATCCGACTCGCGACGACGTCGGCCTGAAATCGCGGCTCCGCGCGGACGTAGTCTCTACCGAACACCGGGAACGCGCGCGCGCGCGCGCGCGCGCTCGACAATAAATGGCGCTGTCCTCGTTTAAGAGTGCCGCGGTCCTCGGGATAGCTCTAGCGCCTCGCGGAGCTACGCCCGGACGACGAGCGCACACGTAGTCGGCGGTGGAGCGATACAGTCTACGTCTCCCGTTGTCTCCCTGTTTTACCCTCGACGTATCGAGCGCGATAGTGGAGGAGGAGGTGGTGGTGGTGGCGGCGGCGGTGGCGGTGGCGGCGGCGGCGGTGGCGGCGGCGGCGGTGGCGGCGGCGGCGGCAGCGACGGTGGCGGCGGTGCCGCTGATGGTGTTGGTGATGATGAGAATCTTTCGCGCCACCTGGTATAATCGTGTCGGCGTACAAAGTGAAACGTCGTCGTCGTCGTCGGCGGCGGCAGGGGAAAGCGTGAAAACTGCGAGAGTCGGCGCGTAGCACCGACCGGAGGGACGACTTTCCCGTGTGCGCGGTCGTCTCGACGATCCACGCCGATACGTCAGCCTAGTCCTCGTCCTCGGCCTCTGCCTCTCGCGCCGCGACTCTATCCCGTCGTGTAACATGGATCGCGCGCGGTACCGTCGGCGGTGGACGTAGGTGGAGGACGGGCTGCTGCTGCTGCTGCTGCTGCTCCTGCTCCTGCTCCTGCTCCTGCTGCTCCGCTGTCTTGCTGCTGCCTGCATATTATAACCTCAACCTCAGCACACTGGGAGGAAACACCGTGGCGTGTCGAGTCGCCTCAGCCGCGCCGCGAGATGTGATTTGCGCGCAAGCGGTCCAAGGGCGGCGATCTTCTCGAGCGTCGAGGATGAGGAACGGCTTCACCGACATACCGGTCGCGAGTGCCGACAGCAGCACGGACGCCATATGGCTCGAGAAAAGCAGTCCGTCGCGGATGCCACCCGAGCGAATGTCGTTCAGTACGTCCTCTTGGTGCACGCACGCCGTCCAGCCGCGGCAACCGGTTTCGCGTCGTCGCGGCGCGATCGACGATCGTACTTAGTTATCGATCAACAGAGAGATAGATTTTTCATGCCCTCCCCTTACGTTTCCACGCCCGCGGCGAGAACACGCGGGGGAGACTCGACTCGCTGTCGCGATCTCGGAGCTCGGTCCCGGGATCGGTCGCGCAGTAGATCGCGATGGCCGTACGGCCTCTCTCCCGACGGAGCTCAGCGGAGTGTGTTTACGTTTCACGCGGTTTACATATCGCGCTAATCGCGTCACCGCGCCGCGCCGCGCCGCGCCGTGTCATCGAGCGCGCGCGCGGGATCGATCGAGGATCCCTCAATCGAGACACCGCGCGTGTCACGTGCGCGACGATTCGACACTACCGCTCGCTTTTGACACTTCACTCCGGTCCGGCGTGTTTACGCCGCACGCCGGAAATCGCCCGGCCGTTTTCACGCATCTCGATCGAGCGCCCAAGCGGCGGCGCCCGATGGATCGATTCGATTTCGCGGGCGAAACTCGAATCCCTTCTGCCTCTCGATCGCGGCGAGAACGATGGGAGAATCTTTTGCGACGATGAAAAGTAGCTTCCTCTCCGTTATCCGATTTGATCCCCGAACGCGCCAAATTCCCAGCTGGGGTATCCGCGACAAGCTGACGGTCGCTTAGTTTTATCAATTTTGATTATCGGACGATTGAGCGCGATTAGTTTTGCGTCGGTCGACGCAGCAATGCAAAAAGTTATTTTTGTACTGGCGCGCGAGAAATCGGCCTACATACTAAATCGATTTAGAGTTTATCGGATGCGTTTGCGAAGATGTGTTGCGGCATTGAAAAATTTACGTGATAAGTGGTCGGCAGACTTAGCTAGTCCCTATCGCTCACGTTGATCGGCCGATTGAATACTTTATTTGATAAACACAAGCGCGTGTACGCCGACAGAATTTCTCTGATCGCTAACGCTTATTTTTGTAACGTGCTCAATTTCTCGACTTTCGAAACAATAGAAGACGTCAATTTTAACGCAGTGTACGTGAAAAAATATTTTTTTTGATCCCAAGCCTCTCCTCCGAAAGTCCGCTCGTGCCCCAGCGTTATTCTCCGCCGCGCTGCCACGTGGACGCGTGACTAGAGATTAAGCATCGAACTCTCTCGAGTGTCACGGGGCTCATACGTTTCTCGCTTCTTTTTTCAGATTTCGAGAGAGTCGTTAAGCAAGAACGTCCGGACGATGCGGAAATCCGTGAATTGGCTGCCAAAATGGTGGAAGCAAACAAGGCGAAAATGCAGGCGAACACGCCGGCGGTGCAACAACAACAGAGGCAGCAGTGCCTCGTGCCGCAGCCTAATCTTCCCGGTATCCTCGGATACCTGAACAAACGACCGGGCGACGGGCAGCCCGCTCCGAAGCCACCGTCGGACGGCTTGGAGAGTAAAGCTCCGACACCCGACGACGACAGCCAGAGAGGACGATTCGGCTGGACGAGCTTCGACGAGTGTCACATACCTTATATATTTCGCTCCGGCGAAAAGTATTGCGCCGTACGCATTCTAGAGTCTAAGCTTCTCAACAAGTACCTGAGCTTTCTTCATTCGGACATCTACAGTTGCACGTGTATAAGGAGTTACTACATCACGGAGGCCGAGAGCAAGCTGTTCAACGAGATCAACAGCAGGCACTGCGAGAATCAGTTCGGCAGGGACCCGTTCACGTGCAAGGACCTGGTGGTGCGTCTCTCGGACGCCAAGGAGTTTTATACGTTTCTCGATGTGTGCTACACAAAGCTGACCGCCGGTACCAATCCGAACGTAACGGGCGGACGCAAGGCGGACAAGTGCGGTTTCATACGGATAAACAAAGAGTCTGTGGTACCTTACACGGTCAAAGACAGTCTGCAGTACGTGCCGCTGTTTTACTTCGAGGGCGAGACAGAGAATCTCAAGCTGAAGGCGGAGAAGCTCGAGGGTTGGGATTTGTCGTACTTGAAGTTCTGCTGTAAGGTACAGGGTATACGAAACGAACTGTTCGCAAGTGAAACGTGCTCGGTCATCAGTTTGAGTGATATCAAGAGCTACTTTCCGCCAGGCACTGGCTTTGAGGACTATTGGCCGACCAAGGTGATGGACTCGCAGTTGTTGGTCAACAGCAACGGGGGTGGTACCGGCGGCGGGTGGACCAAGCAGCCGCCTACACCGCCTACGCCGGTGACCAAGTCTCCCTCCGTGCAGAGCGCGAGTAAGGTGGTACCACCGCCTTTGAGCGCGCGTACCGCCGTACCGATGCCTAATATAATGCCGCGGGGTGCTGCCGTTAGCGCGACGCCGCAGATGCCGCGGATAGGTCAGCCGAGGCCAGTCGCGACGACGCATCCCGCGCATTCTTCCCCGTCGGGACTGCCCACCGGTAGATCCAACATTGTGTCGCAGCCTATGCTGAATGCCGTTCCAGGTGTGGTTAACGGCTGGTCGGGTCTTGTCGGCGGTCAACCCACCTTTCAAACGTCACTCGGCCCTCAGGCTAGCATTATACGGGCGACCCTCAACAATGCTATGCACAACGTAAGCTAATTTCCCCTGCACTGTAAATCGCAATACGCCACCCCCCCCGAGTCTTCGTTGCAGTTTCTGTCTTACCACCGGTGGCTCTGTGCCTCTGCGTTCTATGTCAGACTAATTGTACAATCTTTCACTTTCAGCAACCAATGTCCGCCGCTTCTAAAAGCTATAATCAACAGCCTAGAAGTAGAGCGGGCAGTAGCGGGGCAGCACCTCAGTATCCCGGAGTATACCCGACGACGACCATGCAAGGGGTTGCTCAGGCCCAACCACCGCCTCTTATACGGGCGACCGTTCACTCCAATATCGCGTAAGTGTCAGCAAAACGTTTCGAAAGCTTTTTGATATAGCCTACGTATACACAAAGCTTTGAATAATTTCAAACAACATCGTTGATTTTCTGTTATCGATGGTCCCCTTGTTTTCGCAACAGTGTATACTTGTAGCGTACGCTTGCTTATTGTAAGCAAACCAAACCAAATTGGTATAGATTGTACGTGAAATCCGATCAAACTGTCGCACCTTATTTATTTCGTACTACGTGTATATGTTTATAAAATAAATAATAATGGCTCGTATGATGAAATCAAGTAATAAAAAGGGTCTCAGAGCCTGAACAAGGTATTAGTGTCCAATAAATGGATTTTAATTATAAGAGCATATATATAAACGTTTCGGTCCTTATTGGACCATCCTCAGTCTAAAAGAGATAAATTCGATTTAGGACATAGTTCGCGAGTTAAATATATAAATAAGATTTCGTAGTCAATAGTATAAAAATTGTCATCGGTTTTACCGTATAAATGGATTTACAGATTGAATATTATTAGAGAATTGTGCAGTCATTGGTGTTAAAATAAAGGACAAAAAAATAATAAGCAGTTACGAGTCGGTAATATATAAAATACGGCGCAAGAGAGTATAATGTGTTGGTTGAACAAAGCTGTAACAATTAATAGACAATAAAAATTAATTAAAAGGTTAGCACCAATTTTAGGAAGAAGAGAGGCGACTGGCGAGGTACTTACAAATTAGAACCGTGTTGTGCTTCCATTGTTGTAAATCCATTTATACCGTGGGGGAAACCGCTGACCAAAATCTTGTACACCAATACCCACTAATGCCCAGTGGGCATTACTTTGTCTTATTATCTTATTGTATCTTTATAATGCCTCAGCAAGGTCTAATGTCCAAACTAATGCCCAAAAAATGCCTAGTAATGCCCAGTAATGCCGCAAATCTGTACACCACAATGCCCTCAGCGGTTTCCCCCTCGATTTATACGATAAAACCGATGACAATTTTTATACTATTGACTGCGAAATCTTATTTATATATTTAACTCGCGAACTATGTACTAAATCGAATTTATCTCTTTTATACTGAGGATGGTCCAATAAGGACCGAAACGTATATACATATATATATGCTTTTATAATTAAAATCAATTTATTGGACACTAATACCTTGTTCAGGCTCTGAGCACCTTTTTATTACTTGATTAAAAAAGTTTTCGAGTCATACTGACAATGTTGCCTTTTAGAATACAATAAGATTGACTTCCTTTGTCGGGTGAATAAAAAAATTCATGTGTGAAAGTAAAGTTGTGAAAGAGAATTTTCACTTTTCGGTACACGGCACATTAAGCATGAAAATATCGAGCATTAGAGCCATATGCTTATCCTAGCTTGAAACGTTACGTTATTACATACATAAAGCGTAATTATAGTTGTTATATGTAGAGTATCCGCACCATAGCTTTCTGCATTTGTACATACAACCTATGATTTTTTTTGTATAGTTATCCCACCTATGGGAAGGATGATTGGTGAGTCCTTGTAACATATACTATTGTCACATAGATTATTGTAAGAGATAAGATAGCATGCATAAATTTATATCTCAAGCTGACAAAAATTCATACATAGATAAATTTAATATTTATAATGACTAATCGATATGACTGTCTTTAAAGCTTCTTTGGATGATAAATACATTGGTTTAGTTGCGAATCTAATTCCACGCCATGATTTGTTAAAGTCACTCGTGTCTGTCACACAATGTGTTTCTATATACCTTCAAAATTTTAATGCAAATATGGTTTATTATATTGCTGTCAATATATAAAAATATATAACGGATTGGTTAGTATGGATCTCTAAATGTTCAGATCCGATTTCTTACATTTCTTACCTAAAACATTCTTTCTTAGCTGAAAAGATTAAAAGATTTCATAGATCAGGTAGCAACCGAATTCCAGTTTCTTTATGCGAACGGGATAAAGCCTCGGACGGCATTGTATCTTTTGATTTTACCTTGCGATTCTAACGTGAAATGACACGTCATATATTATTTTCTAGAAATTATTTATAAATCAGGATGGATAGTATTTCCAGTAACACGAGTAAAATATCTGAAACGCGAGTAATGGATGAAATAAATGTTGACAGTATTATTATAAATCTATTTGTAAAATTGACTCCCATGTTGAATTAATTAATAAAATATATTTATATATACAATAAACAGGGTGTCTAATGATAGGTGTAACATCGCTCGCTCGCACGGGGAGGTGGAGCTCGTTAAACTGAATAGAAAAGTCATCATTTTGCGATTTTCCTAATAATTAATGAGAAATTAAATAATTAAATACACTGCGTGGTTGTAAGCGTAGTCGCACGAGCAAGAAACCGTCCGACGTTAAGGCCCTTTACGACTACGCATTGAAAATTGAGAATTGCAAACTACGTAAATTTTAGAATTCGACCAGTTGGATAAGTTTAATTTTAATCCGGTTCGTTTTGGTTAAATTTTAATCTCCAATTCTCTATCTCTAATGTACAGGCTTTTTGCGTCGATTACGGTTGCTACATGTGCAATAAGGCATTGAGAGAAGCGATCTTCTGGCAATGACCGAAGTTGCGTGATACTGGGCCACCTTTGCCAGTTATCTGTCTTTCGAATAATTCTTACGCAAATACGGTAGATAAATTTCTCTTCGGTTTAATCTGCTCCACTTATCTACGAGTGTTACATCTATTTTATATATATATATATGTATATATATGTATATATATACAGGGTGTATTAAAACCACCGAATATCCTTTTAATTACAGATTCTTTAGAAAATTTCAAGAGAAAAATTCTAATACAAAAATGTCGAGGCTATAATAGTTTTTAAATAATAAACGATTGTTTCACAAATGGCAGGCCTGAGATTTCGCGCGCTCAGGCACGACGACGTGACGAGTAATAAAAGTGTTCCTACGAATGTCGCCTCTTTTCATTTAATTCAAGTAAAAATTTGGAACATTTTGTAACTTCAAAGTGTTGCAGCTGTCAAAGTGGTCGTTCGATATCAGTTTCCATGAAAGTTGTTACTATGCTCAAAAGGACGACATTCATAGGAACACTTTTATCACTTATCATGTCGCCGTACCTGAGCGCGCGAAATCTCAGGCCTATCATTTGTGAAACATAATCGTTTATTATTTAAAAACTATTATAGCCTCGACATTTTTGTATTAGAATTTTTCTCTTGAAATTTTCTAAAGAATCTGTAATTAAAAGGATATCCGGTGGTTTTAGTACACCCTGTATATACTTGCATATAAAATTTACTTTTATATAAATATTAAATTTTTTACTCTTACAACGTAAAAATACAGAAGAATATATTTACTAAAAATTTTATAAAATTATATTTTGTTTCATTTGCAACGAGTATAAATATATTAATATGTAATTTAACCATGTATGCATAAGTTATTGTTTTTGTGCAATGTATTGAGTATTTAATTAATTTATGTAAATTCATGTAAATGGGATAAAGATGCAACGAATAAACGTACACGCACAAAATTGATTGACATTCATATTTATTGCCGAAGAGGCTAAAGACTTTAACAACAGAATATATTATATATAAATAAATAAATGATACAATTAGTAACCATTACTCTTTTTGAAGCAGTAAAAAGAATAATATAATGTTTGTATTTCAGGACCACCACGTATACGACACCTTCGTTAGGTGTACCTAACGCAGTCACAGCAACCGCATATCCACAGATGCTTGGTTTAAGTGAACAACAAGTCCAAGCTTTAATGCCAGGACCTGCGTCAGCGTCAAATTTATTACATTCACAAAGGCATACACCATCTGTGCATAACACATCTCATACGAAATATCCACCTCCTCTGATACCAGTCAATGGTAGCAGCGGTAGCAGTAGTAGCTCCAGGTATATGTTATTACATCTTACTACTTTAAAGAAAACGAACAGACATATGGGATTAACGGGAGCTTCTGATTTCAGCTTTTTTTTTAATGTGCTTGATTCGGCTAATAACCAGCAGCGTTCACGTTTGAGTGATTTTGTATTTTTAGGGATTCCCGAGGCAGGAAACCACTGATACCAATACCGGACTCACATATATCCACTTGTCATGTACAACCATACCAAATACAAAAAGCACTAATTGACGAAAAGATGGTACCCTGTATTAATTTCAAACCTTATATTTATACTGAATTGCTAATGTCACTTCCTGACTTCGTTTCCAATTTTTTTCCTGCCTGTGACATCGAAAGTTGTAGACAAGTCCTTACAGATGTACTACATATAGACTTATATCAAGGAAATAGGTAAATATCTAGACAAATAAGTAAATAAATAAATAGTATTATTATACTAGATGAGTAGAATAATGGCCAATAAATTAATAGAATAAATAGAATATACTGGCATGCCATGTTCTATGAAAATAATTCATTCTCTTTGTTTAAAAAAAATATATAACTTTACAGACTGCAAATGAAGATGTTAATGGAAGCAGGCAAATGTTCTTCGCATACAGAAGATCTGCCTTTAATCCAAGTTAGGAGTATAATGAAATTCATGCCACAATTCAAGTATATGTTCAATAGAGGAGATATGGTTATGCCTTCCCCAGCTCATTCGTCTGAAGAGCACCCTGCCAAAAAGCGTCAACGTACCAGCTAGGATTGGCTACAGCCTTACTGGCCTACTTATGATTATTATCATTCGGCATTCTAAAGCCGTGATTCGATATTCCCATCGATATTCTCATCAACGTGATTTGGAACACCTTTAAGGGAGAAGGCGGATCATAAAAAAGATAATTCGCGTATGATGCGTGATAAAATATACATTAACTAATACTTCAAGTGTAAAGTGACACAGTGGTGAGCTACTTCTTTCTCCAAAGTGTATTGAAGAGTGTAAGAGTGAAACATGACTGTGTAAATATAAAATTGAACAGTGTACATTTAAAATATGATAATTTAGGTCTGCTATTTTAATGGTTGAAGTTAGATACAAATAACTCGGCCAAAGTTTCCTGTTAACGCCCACAATCACCTTCTTGTATCTTCATAATGAGCTGGACAAATGTAAATAAAGCACTTGGTCTCGGAAAAGACAGCATACGATAAAATTACATCTTTTATCAAGTCGTCAAAATTTTTCGGTGTAGTCGTTATCGAATACGAAGCGTCGCACGCTTTATGCGTGTCTGTCGGTTGTCAAGATGCGAGCAGCAAAGATAGTGAATGTCAACACGAGAATTGGGTCGAAAGTTGTATCTGATGTCGGCCATTGATTTATTTTATTTTTACTTTCGAGATGTATCTGTTATAAGGATCCCAAAATGATTGTCACAACATGAAATAGACCTAAGATAAAGAACGCTCTTATGTTCAAATTAAATGTATTTTATCATTCCACATACATATTCTTTCTCTCTTCACACACACTCACATACACGTGCGCACGCACACGCACACACATACATACATACACTTGCGCGCGCGCATACAACACACACACCAACAAGCATGCGTGCAACATGAATATATTTTATTTCTACCTCTTTGCACAACAGTGAATACTATTCTTTTCGATATTATGATTCATAGTGTTCTTATTATATATTATTATCTTGCGGATATGAAAAAAGTGAAAGTTCTGTTGTAAAGGAAATTCGGAGAAAGAAAATGCTATTGCCCCATTTGTGAATGGGCATAACGTGCTATAGAGTTATTCATAATGAATAACCTATTTTGCATATTAAATGTATATCAATGAAAAGAAAGCGAAAGATGGAAGTAAAGCTTCTTCAAGTTCCTAGCTATTACTAGTGCGTATCCTGATAACTAACTGCAAGCTAATTTAAAAGCGTTAAGTCATTCATTTATTACGATGATTTTGCGTGAGTTTTTATACGATTTTCATAAAACTTGTTAAAAAGCGTTAAGGTAATTTATTGAACAGGTTTTGTTTCGAGTGTTTAAAGGAAATATATATTGTATACAGACTGCAGAGGACTGGTGAACGTATAGAATGAAGGTAGCGGGACAAATGCCTACTTGATGTGAAAAGATGGCAGTGAGCAATATCTCGTGGACTACATCTGTAGAAGATGCAAATAATGTACAAGATCTGACACTTTGACATAGTTGACAAGAAAATAAAGCTGACATTACTTTTTGCGTATTTTTTTAAAAATATAATTACGAATAGGGGGTTTCACGCAATATTGCTGCTGCATCTTTTAGATGCATAGATTTGCGCAATATACTTTTGCTTTAAGCAGCGAATTTTCTGAAATTTGTTACACACAGCTAATGAAATTCAATAACTCTTAAGCGTTCATTAAAGACAATTAAAGATAAGTATCTCGTGATGGGTTTAAGTAAAAATTGATTGAGTTAAGTGAAAAAGACTGTGTGTGATGGATATATACAAGTGTATCACAAATACCTATTTAAATGCGTTATACGCATCGAGTATGATCGATATATGGTCGATAAGAGTTCTTATTAAAGAAACGTAAATTCAAAAAAAGCTGGTATTCACAGTCCGATCTTGTATTCGAGATCGTCTTAAATATGATATCTCTAGACTTTGTACGGCTATTTCATCGATTGGATGAAGTCTTAAGATTGTTCATGACCAGAGAGACTAAAGATGATCTTGAATATAAGATCGGGTAATGAATACCGCCCATAGTCAAGGCGGTTTCGCTCAAAGCGAAGGCTTCAAATTCAAACGTGCAATTATGACTGTATTAGCCTTTAACCCACTTCACGGATACGTTAAATTTATGTATACATTCGAAAAATGTCCAACTTATGTAGAAAGCTGTTAAGATGTTTATATGAATATAACACGAAAAAGTGACAAAAAGAACGTTCAAAGAAAAGAAATCTGGTTGCTATTTGAAGCCACGTTAAAATAGTCTTCCACAGATAATTCATATAAATACGACACAAATCAAATTTTGTTCCGTTCAATAAATCATTTCGAAATACCGACATTATATTAATGTGTCTTCGACAATTGTCATTTATTTCCATTTACAATAATAGAATGCAGGACGCAACAGAGAGGGCCCTTCCTTTCAGGGCAACGTATAAAATGCTATTTTATCTCTTCTCGATGTAGGACAGAGGATTAAAGAATTATCGACCGGCTATATATGTATATATCTATGTATATACATATAATATATATATGTATATATACATATATATATATATACTTTCGTCACTTATTAATTTTAGTGTAAGAAAGCTCTAAAAAAGTGTACATGGCAAACAAGTGTATATAAAGAGGTAATTATAACGACTGATTCACGTCGAACGTGAATCTTCCGCGTAAGGCAGAAATTATTTGGATATTCTGTCGTAGTGAATAATAGCGTATTATTTATGAAGCGATATTTTGTGGTATTACGACTTGAAAGACACCTTGCATTGCGCTATCGAGAGACTTTGGACTGGTATATCTTACTCTTAAAAGAAAAAATATGGTTCAAGATAATGTAGAAGAGGTCGGAAGATGGAGAAACGCCTGGCGGTTTATTATTTAAATAAAAACATTTTTGAGAGCGGTGATATTATTTCATTTAATCGACGCTAAACGTTGTCTAATTTTAGTTTTTACATTTTATATTCCGCGTTTATATACATAACGGCTGATTTAACGGATTTATCGTCCGAAATGGTAAACGCGTCACCTTTTGTTTCACGTTTTATTTCGTTTGTCAAGTACGTGAGTAAGTTTGATGTAATTGTATCGGACAATGCTATAACTTGCGGAAGGATTTGCGCGCAACGAAGGAAAGTACATGTCGACATTGTGATTTGTTTAGCGCGACGAAAAAAAAGCGTCCGCATAATCTTTTCAACTTATTTCAACGGGAGCATATACCATTTTTGTTATCTTATAAGTTACGTCGCGAAAGTCATTTAATTCCTCTCGAGGTAAACGCAAGAGATGGCTCCAGTCCAAGACGTTTAGAGTATAATATCATTTTTAATATATTAGATTAGCACATTTATTTGTTAACGTTTGTTACAACTGTGTATTATACTTTATCACGCTATCATTTGTACATATAGAGCGTAAGGAAATAGAACTATTAGATATTTCAAAATAAATTCATGATACAATCAAGGAAAGGAAGCCAGTAATTTTTTTCGCGTCCCACATCCTTTGCGCGTGTTTTATCGTATGTTAAATTGTACAGGGTGTAACACTGCTCGCGACGAAATAGAACAAGTTATAATAAATAGAAAAGTTCCCTTTGTGCGATCTTCCTAATTAATAAGAATTTAATTAGGGAATTTTTACTAAAAAGAGAAGATTAGCTTGCATCCGCGTGATTGTAATCCAGTAAATATCAATTAACAGTTACGTAATATCAAAATATAATAGCACATACAGATTCTAAGAGTATTTAGAGAATCGGTAAGTATAAGATATAGGAGTGTTTCTAATTTATTAGAATATTCTGGGTATATTTTGTAGAAGATTATGCAAAATCTGTTAGGAATGTAACAATGTAAAATCTGTACCCAACAATGTAATTATTACGTACAATGTACTTGTGTTATATTGCATTATATGGTGTTTGCTGGGAAGCGCGCTACGAGGGAAAGGGCTTGAGCAGAATGTTTTGTATTCTTAAGAGAACTTTCATAGGTCTTGAACTTTCTTAGGTACATGACTTTCTCGGTCTGATCGCTTGAAAAGGACCAAAACCCATGTTCGAAACGTAGCGATTCTTAAACATAAAAATTGCCAGATACGACCAACCAAATTTGATGTAAATTATTGCTGGCGATCCTGAAGATTTTTCCTGTTAGTTTATCTATTAACTAGCGATGTGACACTTATCAGACACCCTGTACAATTCAATATATTTATAAATATAGATTCAATATGTAAATATATATGCAAAAATGATTTTAAGCAAAGTTTGAAATTACCGCGCTTTTTCCTCGACGTTTACTCGAGAATCTCGATTCGAGATTTTAGTCAGTGTAATTCTTTTAATTTAAACGTTAATTTGAGTAACGAAGCAAGAGAAGCTATTTAATTAAAGTCGGGAGACATTAAGGTATTCGTTGTGAGAAATCTCGGCAGAAAACTTCAATTAATGCTACGGCAACTTCTTTTATTATTTTTTATAGAAATCATTGAAATACTCAACTGTTTTATAGCAAATAAATTCATATTTTCTATCCAATTTTGTAGTACGGTGGCCACTTATGCATTTATGCGATAACCACAGAACATGGCATATACATATGTATAATGATTAGCTGTGCTAAGCTGCATCGGAACGGAAGTTAACGGAAAATGGCGGAGCCAATCACAATCGGGAAACGATATTGGCATAACTCTACTTATAGGAACTCTAAACTGAGTCAATAGGCTTGTTTTCTGTTCTTACACTATAGTGAACTAGTGCAATAAATTAGAGTAAGACAGGCATATATTTTCTCATTCTACCTTACTGCACTAGTTCACCAGTGCAGGAACAGAAAACAAACCTCAAGTGTCTTTGTCTAACTTGTTCGTTTTCTCCCCACTCTTAGTGCCCATCTACAATAGAGATTTATATCCTAAGCCTTAAGAAATTGACTAATCACAGGGTCTGTTTTTATTGCTGCACTCCTAAACTAGTGCACACTGGTGCAATGAGTTGGAATTAGAGGTAATCTATTTGTTTCATTTTAACTTATTGCACTAGTTCAGTAGTGCAGTAATAAAGAACAGGCCTACAGTCGCGTATTCTACTCACACTTGACCGTGATTGGTCAATTTTTTAAGACTTAGGGCTTAAATCGTCTATTGTAGACTGGGACTTAACGCTGAGCGAGAGAGAGATTATAGACCTGTTCAGGACAATAAAGAACAAACCCCATGACTCTTTGGATATGTCTGCGCTCTAATGTTTAGAACAGCGCGTCCGTAGTCTAGTATATAAAGGCCTTCACACATAAAATTCCGTAAGGACGTAAAACGTAAGCGTAAGAAAATCAACAGGTTGGATTTGCTACTGCTTGCGTCATTGCCTTACGTTCTCGACTGTGATTGGTCGATTTTCTTATGCTTACGTTTTACGTCCTTACGGAATTTTATGTGTGAAGGCCTTAAGTCTATAGGCTCGTTTTCTGTTCCTACACTGGTGAACTAGTGCAATAAATTGGAGTAAGACAAGCATATTTCTTCTCATTCTAGCTTACTGCACTAGTTCACCAATGCAGGAACAGAAAACAAACCTTATGGCTCTACCAGGCAACCAGGCGCCATGCAGTGATGCCGTTTGAAAACGTCAGCCACATCGCGACAGCGGTGGTGGGGATAGAGTGGGGATGGTGCGCACACATAGGCCGTTATTCATAAGGCCTGTTCTTTATTACTGCACTACTAAACTAGTGCAATAAGTTAAAATGAAACAAATAGATTACCTCTCATTCCAACTCATTGCACCAGTGTGCACTAGTTCAGGAGTGCAGCAATAAAGAACAGACCTATAGTCCGTTCTTATATTTAAGATCATCTTAAGTATACTCTTAATGTGTTTTCAACCAATCACAGAGCCGTATTAGCGTCTTAAGACAACACTAAAGCCTCCGCTACAATGATTCTCGGTTCTGTCTACAATGGTCGTAGTCGTAGTCGCTCGATAAGAATTGACCAATCGCAGTCGATTATTCTTACGACTACGACCATTGTAGACAGAACCGAGAATCATTGTAGCGGAGGCTTTAAGATGATACTGAAATAAGAATCGACTATGAATACCGGCCATATACAGCACGTAGCCTGTGTGCGGCACGAGAGCCATCCCCACCACCGCTGTCGCGATGTGGCTGATATATATGTTCTGTGGTGGCTGACGTTCTCAAACGGCATCACTGCCAGGCGCGTGGAGAGGATAGGGTGGGGATAGCACTGAATTCTCGGCCGGCGTCAGGCAGTACAAGTTAGAAGAAGATAGCGCCGAGCGCTACCCTACACCCTATCCCCTCCACGCGTCCGGCTGCCTGGCAGATAGACGTAAATTTAAAAACGTTCTGCCAGGCAAGCAGGCACGTGGAGTGGATAGGGTGGGGATAGCACTGGATGCTCGGCCGGCGTCAGGCAGTAGAAGTTAGAAGAAGAGAGCGCCGGCGCTACCCCACACCTTATCCCCTCCACGCGTCCGGCTGTCTGGCAGAGCTTCCAACTTCCAGGGCTGCGTTCAAAAACGTCACCCGAGTACCCCAGAGTATCATTTTATCCTTGTTTAACATACGGTGAGCAACAAGGATAGAATAATACGCTGGGGTACTCGGGTGGTGTTTCTGAACGCAGCCCAAGTTTGCATTACTGGTTGCAACAGTTTGCGATGACTGGCGACGATTTGAAAGTGTTGTGGGCGAATTACACCAAATGATTTTTAAAAAATACCTTTTGCATCATATAAAAGAAAAATTCTACATATCCAGTATACATATGTATACTATGTACCAAGAAACTTTGTAAGGTAAGGTTAGAACCTAACCTAACCTAACCCAGATTTATAACACATTTTCGGTCGAACATATGTTTATCTTCAGGTTAATCGTTCCGGGAGCGCTAAAACCTATGTCAGTCCCAGTCAGTCGAAAACGCTATTAGACGGCAATAACAATGAGAAGGTTGATAAAAGTCAAGAAGATGCGCGAAAAAAAGGACAGCCCGAGAATTAATTCAGATCTCGGGGAGGAGGTTTTCAAATCCGTGATACGCGCGCATCGACCTGTGCAATCTATGGTTAAATTCGCGGCGGAAGTACGTCACCAGCAAGATGTTAAACGTTGAACAGCGGCGAGATGGCGGGCGCGTCGGCCGCGAGTCGCAACGAGCCCGTACGGAAGCGGCCGAAGCGGCTGGCAGCGGTCGCCATTTTGTCTGGTGGGCTATCGGGATCATCTTGTCTCTGTCACCACGGTTATTTCGCCTGTGCCTCGTTGGAAACGAAGTAAAAGAGCCGCCGCCTGTGCCCGCCGTGTGTGCTCGTATAACGCGCCGCGCCGCTCCGCTCCGCCCGCACCGTCGCAGCCGCAAATGGCTTGTCTGAACACCCTCAAGCAGGAAATCAAAACGCTCGAATCCGTCTTCCCCAAGAGCCATGAGAGGTTTCAGATAATGTCTGCGAGCGTGGACGAGCTCAGCTGTAGGTTCGTCGGTAAAAATGGGAAGAAGTACGAAATACACGCTAATATCACAGTAAGTGCAACAGCAGGCGTCACCACTCGGAGGGGGGGATGGGTGTACGCCGATTGTGCCGCTCCGCGAGACGGTCGCTAGGCATTCTCGCGTGCGAGTCAATGAGCGAATGCGCGACGAGATTGTTATGTACGTGCGTGCGGTATACGGTCCTTCGCATCTCCTCGCCGCGTACTGTCCCCTCGCGGACGACCGGACAAAGGACGACACGCCGCTGTCTGCTGCCGCGGACATTCGACCGCTCGCTTATCGCTACCGCGTCTCGCTCTCCCGTTCTCCATCGATTTTTTCCTCCCCCGCGACCGCGAGGATCCTCTCCGTCGGCGAGTCGCAGAAGGGTCGACGTGCCCGTCCCCTCGCGCAGGGGATACCCGTCGTTCTGGGATCTTGCGGGCATTGTTGTTTTTTTTTCTCTCTACACCGACGTGTCAGAGACAAAGGTGGTGGAGAGAAGAGGATTCGGACAAAGAAGAGTCGTTCGCGAGTCTCGGCGCCTCGTGACGTCTCGCGCTGGCTCGATCGAGCGTCCCGCATTTCGGAAACGCAGTTTAATCGACGGCGCGAGCCGATCTTTTCCTCCCTCCCTCCCCCCTCGCGACAGTATGCGATCTGCGTGCGTATGTGTGCACATGATATATATATAATATGTGTATGCATGTGTGTGTGCGTGTGCGCGCGCGATGACAGCACGAGGAACGTCGCAATCGAGCGCGATCCTTTTGCAACGCGTATTGCCGCTCGCGCGATTACGGCGGTGGATATTTCAGCATCATTTGCCGATTACGCGACAGATGTCGGCACGTCGAGCTGTGTGTGTATGCGTGAGAATTTCTTTTTTCGGACGTTTTCCTGCGCGCGCGCGCGTTTAAATGGACGTGTGACGCGCGTACTTGCACCGTCTCGGGCGCGTATGCGAGGGGGCTGACGTTCCGTGTTGACAGTTTGTTATCTTTCGTCTTGCAACACCGTCCTGTTACGATACGGTGGCGGTGTAACCGATCGCGTCGAGCCGCGCGCATATTATAGATGACGATTTTGTTGTTTGTTACGCCACCGAAGTTCTATCAATGTTAATGATAATCGAGTGAATAATGTTGACGACGTTCACGCAGGAAACCTATCCTTCAACGCCGCCCGTCTGGTTTGCCGAATCCGAGGAGACTAGTGTTACGAACGCTGTACAAATATTAAGTAACACAACGGGCAGCGACAACCATGTAATCAACCAAGTTGGTATCCTATTGAAGGAGTTGTGCAGACTACACTCGTTACCGGAACCGCCGGACGTCGAGAGGCTGAGAACCGCCTTGGACCCCTTACGCTTAGGAGGATCGAACGAAGCTGTGGCGCAAAGGATGGACGCCGAGGACCTAGACGATATCGACGAGGACGAAGAGAGCGAGACTGAAGAGGACCTCCATTTAGACATGGATGAGGGAGACGCTAATTCTAAGAATAAGGTAGACAGAGATGAACTTACGTTGGCTCGCTACTATTTTACCGACCACTGTCGTCAATCTTTGCCTAATGGAGGTTAATCTGACGATACAGAGCGAAGAAATGGACTTGGAACATCTTGCGACACTGGAAAGGTTGAGGCAGAATCAGAGACAAGATTATTTAAAGGGATCTGTTTGTGGAAGTGTACAAGCCACCGATAGGCTCATGAAGGAACTGCGTGATATATACCGAAGTGACAGCTTTAAAAAGGGTATGTTACCTTTAAAGTCTTGGGACAAACAAGTCGAATTTTAATGATTATTATACGACAGCTTGGTATCTTCACTTTTTTTTTCATCAAAGTGAAATAATAAAGATACAGTTGCATTTCTTAAATTCCTTTGATTTTAAATACAGACAAGATGCACTCATTAACTTTCTGGAAAAAGATACCAAGCTCTTATACATATATTTTATATATAGTTCGATCAATGTCGAGTCACAGTTTACGAGACTATTCTCCATCAGATTAAAAATAAATCAATTTCGTTGATTACAAGATTCTTGTATATCCAGTTACAATTGAAAATCAAGAGATGCTTTGTCAGTACATTTTTAATGCTTGTGAAATTATCTGTAATTTCTCCGGGACTTTTGAAAGGATGCAGCGTTTCGTGTTCTAACAATGTCATTGCGTTCAATTGAGACATTTTTTTTGAAAATTATGACTTGATATTAGTCAAATGTTGACTTCAAAATTATGTTTGTTAAATCTAATTTCTATCCCACCAACTTTTCCAACATCAGTTTTCATATACTCTCATAAATAATTTACTCAAAAAATTTGTTAAAAGAATCTTGAAACGTCTTATATACATTTTGTCTTTTTTTTCCAGGAATGTATAGCATAGAATTAGTAAATGACAGTTTATATGAATGGAATATCAGATTGATGTGTGTAGATCCTGATTCACCACTTCATAGCGATCTCATTCTTTTGAAAGAGAAAGAGGGCAAAGACAGTATTCTTCTCAATATGCTTTTCAAGGTAGCTTACTCATATAAAATTAACTTTAAGAGTTAAACTTCGAACGAGATTTATGTATTCATTTGCCATTTCGTAGCAATGTTATTCACATTTCCTTTCAGACATTTTATTCTAAATCTAAATTTTTATTGTAGGAAACTTATCCGTTCGAACCTCCTTTTGTAAGAGTCGTGCATCCTATCATATCTGGCGGATACGTTCTTGTGGGTGGTGCCATTTGTATGGAACTTCTCACGAAACAGGGATGGAGTTCGGCGTACACGGTAGAAGCTGTTATAATGCAAATTTCAGCGACGTTAGTGAAGGGGAAAGCGCGTATACAGTTCCAGGGATCAGGTGGCGCTGGCAAAGTGTGTGGTGGACAAGGCCAATACAGTTTGGCACGTGCCCAACAGTCATTCAAGTCTCTTGTACAAATACATGAAAAGAATGGTAAGGATCTACTTGCTTTATACTGCGTTAATTGTTACATCACTGAGAGAAACAAAAAAATGTTTTGCGTTCCGCCAGGTTGGTTCACACCTCCGAAGGAGGATGGCTAATGAACAGTGGATTGCGGAAAAATACCGAAGATATGATACATGCTTACAGCTGAGACTTTAATTCGGTGTGTGCCCAACAAATAATTGTTATGATAATGATTTGATACACAAACACAACAGTAACTAGGTAACTTAAGATACTGAATTAATCTAACATATAATTCCTTTGATGGCTAAAAAGCTGCCGTACACCTTGGTTACGTATTCATATTTTTTTTCGGTCATTAGTAGTTAGGTCGCGAATTGTATCGATAAATGTAAGATATCATTTCGCTTTGAAATTGATTCTTGTGTTCCAAGAATCCCAGTTGTTGCTATCGCAGTATAGTGATTTTATGTGCTCCTTAACGATGAATATGTTGTACGTGCGAAACAGTGTAACTTCTGAAAGGTGCGTTTGCGCAATCGTGCTTCCTGTCTCTTATTAACGGGAGGAAAGTAAGATCAACGTTTTAGATTAATATAACAGTGGACAAATTAAGTTTTTCTTTTATTGTTCTATTGTATTACTTTCTTTACTTTCTATAAAGGAATTATTACGTTTCACGCATTTCAATGGCAATGCTATATTTCTTTTGCTAATGTATCTCGTAAACGAGTAAAAATAATGGTAGTGAAAATGCATCTCTTGAAAAAAGATATATATCACTTCTATTCTTGAAATCCTTTGCCAGGTATCTCGTAAGCGATATTAAAAATAACGTGAGTACACAACCAAAACGTTTCTTTCTTCAAAAAGAAAAAACCTGCAGATATAAAATGGCTAAGTAGAATATAAAAGTATAGCTTTACATCGGGAGGCTCTAGAGAGTACGATAATAGAAGTTACAAAAGTCTGTGCAAGCTTTTCGGACTTGCGATTAAGTATGTTTTGTAAAACTAATTTTTTCTATATCAATATTAATCAACTCAGATTTTTGACACGAGAAGCGATATTTTTTTACATTCGGCGAATAATATATTTCGTAGCATTATTGGATTAGATGGAACGTAGATCTCACAATGTTTGTATTGTATACGACGCAGTAATTAATATGGATGTTTATCTTTTTACGTAGAACATAAGAGTGAGTCGGATGTAAACATGTAGGTGCTGTAGTAACAAATGTTTTCTTAAAGTACCAAATATTACAAAAGTTTATATTGGCCTTTCCTTTGCAATATTATCGAGATAGCTTATATAGCTTTCTACAACGTATATATATCCCGTTGTATGTAATGTTCAATCGAATATAGGAGTTGTATAGATGTACATAATAAATACGAGTACTCTTTAGAGTCTTTAACGGAGGACGTAGATGCAATTAGAAGCTTAAAAGTTTTGGTTGTGTGTTTCACATTTACAAATCCATTCTAAAATCTATTCTTCATTATTTTCTCTATGATGCAATTTATAAGATGTAAAATCATGTACATGCAAGATATAATTTTTTTAATAAGAGATGCGCGAGCTAAATCTTATTCATGTAAAATTTAATTCTCATGTGCAAATTTGTTTTCGAAGAAAACCTACGAGTCCCACGCAAAAGAATTTCTAATGATCGCAAGAGGACATTTCTTCAGGCGATTTTTCACATAATTGACTATTATTTTAGCAGTAAATGGCCAAAGTGCTACATATGCACTTCTAAAGCGAATTTGTCCATTAGAATTAACAATGTAACGATATCGTAACGTTTGTAACTTTAGTGAATCTAATTTTTTCTATAAATTATATCTGTGAAGGTTACTCCTTTTTCATAAAAAAGAAAATCTTATATCTGTTATTGTTAAATGGACTTTTGCAACACGGCATTGACGTTGAGTTGCCGAAACTTAAGAAATTACAGACATTAAACATTCTTCGGATTTATATTGCACTCGTAAGCATTTATGCAGTTTGTTTTGTACATACATACATAAATACACCTGATTCATATACATGCATATACACGTACACATATACACGTATGCATTCTGTTCCTTATGCTTCATCTTCCTACGTAATCTCGAATGCGTAGTCTCTGTGACTATCATGTTCATTTGCAAACGTGTCAAACGTGAACATTTATGAATATCGAGTACGAGTAGTTGTGATAGGTATATTTGATTATCATTTCGCCAGAGTCGAGGAAATCTATCCCTCATTTTCGTTGTAAATATCGTCATTCGAAACAACCAACTATGACGGTTCGTAACTGTTAATACTTCAGGGATTTTTATTTCAGATGTATCATTACTTTTGTAATATTACGTTATCGTACGTGTCCGCGTAATTATCGTGTTTGCTTTAGGATGAATGAATATACCTGAAAGCCTATTAATCGTATGGAGATGGAGCAGTACATATGTTATTGGCAATAACGCATGTACATTGTATCGGTACACATGATTATCGGTATAACTGGATCGAGTAGCGTGGGTCACTAGTTTCGTTCGCGGTACAATTAAACTCGTTTGTGAGCAAATCATATGAGCAGTATCGTCATATAAATAATAAGTATAGGTGTGCGATCATCGAGCTCGTTGTCAACGGACACCACGATTTGTACAGCCGCCGCCCGTTTGACACTGAGTACTGGTTGTTCGACGTCGTTAAGCGTTATGTTCTTTGCCAAAACTTTGTGTCGTCTGTTAAGTTTTATTTTCTTTTTATATATAATAATTGCGTATGATCGCGGGGAGCAATGTGACATGTGTATTTTTGCTACAAATATCGTTAAGACTCTTCGATTTCTTAACGAATGTCTTACATTTGACATTCGATTCTTGCCGATATTCGTGACGATTTCAGAAGTCTCAGAGTCTCGATGTAAGGTCGACATGTCGCGCGCGATTAGTTCCAATTAATTACATTTAATAAAAGAGATACTGCGACGATTGACGAGAGAAGGTGCGTAATAACATAAGATAATAATTTTCCGCGGACTGTGTCGGGATTCGTTCCGGACGAAACATTTTGACGAAAGAGTGTGCGCCTAAAGAACAAGTGGAAGTTTGAATTAGTCGGTTCTTACACAACTCCGGGATGTATTTCTCAAATCTTTCGATTGTGTGCGGTGTAATGTAGTTGTCAAATTTTTGTTACGTATTCATGTTACGTAATCTTTCTATTTCAAGACTGATAAAAGTAGAACTCGAACATACTTTTCTTCCACGTTACATTTGTAAAATGTGTCTTTCACGCGATGCTTGGATTCGCGAGCATGATAATAAAAGATACTCGAGCAGTTTATCCGCGTCGAACGGGACTTTCTACGTACTTGTACGAATATGGAAACGTTATGAAATTTGTATGATCCGTGAGATTTTCGTACGGAGGCATTGAGTGCCAATTGGGAAGGGGTGGATATACATATCCCATTCCGAGATGTATTTGTGGCAAAAATAGTCGTCTAAAGTCTCTTCCAACTCATTTGTTCACTTGTCACGTTTTACTGATAACGTGGATATGTTTATTATGCGTTAAGTACATGCGGAATAATTGATTTATGTAATGACAAAAATTATTTCTTTTTGTTTAAAGGGAGAGCACCCGGTTCACGCGGAACATAAATAACCGACTGAAGCGACTGTAAAGCATGATACAAGCATACACATATGGAAATTATTACATCCACGTATACCTGGTTACAGATCCGCATTCTAATCAAGATAGAATGACAAGTAAATAATCTGCGTTTCGCTTGAACCGTGGTATTTGATCGTATCCATTTGATACTCCGAATAACGACTTTGTGTATCGTGTTAAGTATATATCATATAACTTAACTCTCTCGTATTATAACATTTCTGACGAGGGTCTTAGACTTCCGGATCGAGACATATAGAGTGCGGTCGTACGCGTCGAGAGAGATCGCGATTACAATTTTCTTCAGTTTCCTTCGTTTCTGCTGCAAATTTCTCGCGAATCGCCCTCTCTCCATCTTTTCCGCAAACGTAATATCGAGTGTCGTCGTTTTCTCGACGTGAACGATGTCGACGTTTCCTCGAGTCTAAACCCGTAAGTTAAATTATGTCTCTACTCTGTCTGCGTACCTATTTGCGTAATTAATTCATCGATCAACCGTGTGATCGATTAATTTTTGTTAATCGGTCGCGTCGTCTCATTGTCAATATCTATAATCTTAAGATTACTCTACGTATCTTCAATCTGCTCCACTTGTATATCGTACCATTACTGATTTGAGTGAAAGTTTCCATAATTCTAATATATCGAGCATTATACTTTCTCTCTCTTCCCCCCCCCCTCTCTATCTCTATCTCTCTCTCTTACACCACAATTTCACGTTAAGTTACGTTAATTATTGTTTAGGAGAACGCTACGAAACACAAAAATAAAGATTTTAATAAAAAAACTTATTTGGATGTGTATACATGTATATATACGTACGCGTGCGCCCTTTTTATGTTCACAGATGCAGCATCGGGCTATGACGAACAATTTTAATTACCAATCGCGTGTGTTAATATCTCCGATAATTTTCAATATGTAATACTACGTATATACACGAAAAATTCTTAATTGAGCGCCGGTATCGAGCGTATACGATTATTACGTTTTCGAATCGCGGCTTTCGTAATGCCCGTTCTACACCTAGGGATGATCCTACTTGTGGCTCATACGAGTGGAGAAGTTTACACGGGCATTTTAGTACGATTATCATACTAACAAGTATGATTTTTGTATGATTTCACTCTGATTTTTAATCGTCTTCTTATGCAGAAATGACACCCGAGTCCATAAACGGTCTCAATACGATCTTTGTCCATTTATTTACTCACTCGGATGAGCCACAAGTAGGATCGTCGCTAGGTGTTAAACGGGCACAAGCGAGACGCGCGAGATTTTCAAACGAGCGGGTCGCGCGTTTACCGACGGAAGACTCGTGGCTACGTTCAGTGTGCAGGCGCGGAACTGCAGTATCTGCGTGATTCTCGCGAATGGCAGATCGTCGGAGGATACGAGTCGTCTCGCAGCAATCTAATACGTTCGTTCGCCTGAAAATCGATCGCTTTAAGAGAAATCATGTAAGTTTCGTGCGCCGCGACGAACGAGTTGATTTCGCGCGATACATGGCTGTTTTACGCGGCGATCTGTAACGCGACGCGACGCTTCGGGATGACGTCGTGAGGTCAACGCCGCCGCGTTTCAATTCGTAATGAATGTGCCGCGCGTTCGGCCGGCCGAGCGTATTTAACGCGCATTTCTGTATCCGCGTCCGTCGAGCGAGCATTACTGAATAAATGATGATTCACGGTGGCCGTCGAAGCATCGATGATTCACGTTGGATTAAAACGGCGGATTTGGCGGGGCGGCAATATGGCGATCGGTGAGTAAAGTTACGCACGCGCCCTTTCCCTCGACTCGACGTCGCGATCTTCGGTCACTTGGGCCTTTCCAACCTCTTGGTATAAGCTAGTAGTTAAATTTTATGTCTAATTCTCTGTTTAATTGGGTGGCGAGACAAGGGGGTCAATTCTGTGTCTCACAATGTGGCGAAAATGCTCAAAGTGAGGGGCTTTGCTTCTTTCTGAGGGAACGGCTAGAGAGAGAGAGAGAGAGAAAGAGAGAGAAACCTATTCTCCTTCAGCAATTTTGCTATAGTGTAAGATACAGAATTGACCACCTGGGGGGGGATCTATAGCGTAAGATACAGGATGGACCGCCCGGGGGTCAATTCTGTATTGAAAGCCAACGGCACACGATACTGTTTTTCCGTACCGAATTGCTTACGAGAGCCAATCAGAACGCAGTTTTAGATCGGGTGACTTAGGCTGAATCCTGATTGGCTCTCGCAGGCAATCCAGTGGGGGGAAAAATAGTATCGTGTGCCGTTGGCTTTACACTATAGTGAAAAGGCTAAAAGTGAATAGCCTTGTCTCTAATTTCTAACTGTGGGTGCGGATCCCTCGGCGATCGGCGAGCGTTTTTAACCATCTTTTTTACCGACACAGTCAAATATAGCTTTTGCTCTTGTAATTCTTTTTATTAGCGCTTTTATGCACAAAATAATACCAGGCTAAGTTGCACAGACCGCATAGCAGAACATTTTCATACTTAAAACACTCACGTCAGAAATCTAATAAAAAAGATATTGGTATTTGAACTTTTCAATTCGTAGCTCGTACTAAATTTGAAATTGACTTTATAAAATTCGAGGGGGGAAACCGCTGACCAAAATCTTGTACACCAATGCCCACTAATGCCCGGTGGGCATTACTTTAGCTTATCTTTTTCTTTTATCCCAGCCATTGTATTGACGACTTCTTGATGACGTTACTCTCAGGTCAGAAAATAAGACTGTTAGTCAGGCTATGCTGAACAGCTGTACTCTCGCTAGAAGTGTCACAGCGCGAAAAAACACGTGTATTATGATAAGGGATGCTGTATTAAGCGGAAAAAGCTGCTTTGAAACTGTAAAATTTATGATCTTATTGGTATGCTTTTGAATTCACTCAAGATTAAGAGGATACGCCAGATTCACGAATTTTACAACAGTTGCAAAGCAGCCTCGCTAGCAATTAAACGTACCAATTTCACAAATTTATTCAGCACACAGGGACCATTGGCCAACTTTAAACCACTCGTGTACTTGAGATCACTTTGAATATTTATCCCTGAACTCCCGTCTTTATCTAATCTCATCACTTTCAACGTCTCAATAAAAGGTTTTCCGCGTTTTACACTGTATTTCACTGTACACTAATTGCTCATAAAAAATCACGTGTTTCGATAAAATCGCGAGACGTGCCAAGCACGCCGACATGGCAAGGATCAAAGTTGAAAACTGACTACCATCACCACCACCATCAATTTACCTAAACTAGTTGCACATAGTTCAAAGTTTAGCTGTTTCTTTTAATGTATCACGTGCCGCCGTTGCAGATCGTGGTCACTGTAGAATAGTAAAGCCTTGTGTCCACGATCCAAGAACTGCGATTCAAGTTCTAGTTCATTCTAGCTATTCCAGAAAAGCTGCAAGACGATTGGTTACATGAACCAATAGGGTATTTCAGTTTATGTCACGAAGACCCGCGCCCTTTGAGTCGTTTACAAGGCGTTGATGGAGGGCGACAAATAAAATTAGAACTAACTCTAGATTACGATATTATGCAATGCACAAATGTATTTACGCGGTCGTGCGAAAAAGACCTGGCCTTTACATCTTTTTTAATAATAAAAACGCGACCCACAGCGGGCGTTGGTGCACGTTTTCAAAAGTTTGCAAATTTTCCGACGGACCGCGTACCTGAAACGTCAATGAAAAATTTATTATTGAACGATTCATTTATATTTTTAGTTATTTTATTGATTTTTTTTCTATGATCTTTATAATCTAATCATTGTTCTAGTATTATCAAGATTTCATTTGGCGGAAGATTTTTTTATAAATTTCAACGATATGGAATAATTTTCTCGTAAACGAATTGCTCGACTAATTTTTCCACGATAACGAATGCACTTTGGCAACGTCTCCTACTCATCACGATTGACGCTGCCGATTATTTTTTTTTGGTAATTATCGTGAGGCAATTATATCCGTTCGAGATAATCGATTATCATTTGACACACCTGGATGAACAAAGCGTGAATTTTCTATATTGATTACACAAAGCAAAATCGATCGTTTTGAGCGCGAGTCCAGATCGAGTGAGCGAGCGCGAACGAATGCAAATCCGCGATGTTGTTTGCATTTGGCGATTAATCATAACCATATTCACAACGATGCTTAAAATTCTTCCACTGGATCAACCAATCGGAACTTTCTATTATGCGTATATTGAATTTGGCAATTAGCGACGTGTGGGCGATTGAATGCCATTTGCTCGCATTCATTGAAGCAAGTTGTCCGTTCGTGTTTGTTTGTGCTCGTTCGCGCTCGTTCGCCCGGATCTAGTTTTACTTGCACAAACTACACGTGACTACGTAATGTAATACCATCGACAATGTCAGAAACATTTCCTTGTTCCCATAGAAATAGAATTTTACTTTTGGTGCTTGCAGAGTGAGAATAACCAAAACGCTAAACTTTAGGCGATTTTTGGCGACTGTTTGGTACATATACCGAAGTGTATGTACCAGAGTGTACACTCAACGTCATAAATGCTCTTACACCTGAAGAAAGATATTAGGTGCCCATCTACAATAGAGATTTAAACCCTAAGCCTTAAGAAATTGACTAACCACAGTCGCGTATTCTACTCATACTTGACTATGATTGGCCAATTTCTTAAGGTTTGGGGCTGAAATCATCTATTATAGACTGGGACTAAAGAGAGATATTCAATAGGAAAATTTATTTTAATAAAATGAAGTTTTCTATCGGAATATGTTGAACTTAAAGGGTCATTCCACTTTAACAGCCCAAAAACTATGCTTATCTTTAACAATTTTTTTCACAGTAAATACACCATACTCTCTAAAATTTGTGGAGTGAAAATACTGCCATGGAGTGAAATGTTTACTCCATTGGAGTTAATATTTACTCTGTTGCAGGAAATATTCACGCCAATAGGGTGAACATTTCACTCCATGGTAGTATTTTCACTCCATAAATTTTAGAGAGTGCAATGAAATAAATCTTTTTGGGATTTATTAGGACACTCTTATATAACACAAAAAAATTATTGTCATAATTTAAACAATTTTTTTAATTTATTATAATAATTTAAGTTATTTAATTAATTTAAGCGTTTTCTACACCGTTCGAATGGCGTGTCAAAAAAGATGCAAGTCCGCTGCGTTGAGTTAAAAAGTACTTTTTAAAACATTTTTTCAAACTAGCACCATTTTGTTATTTTTAAATACAAATTCTTAATTGAGATTCGGGACATAGCGACACTCATATAGATTAAGGATCTTTTTGATTTTTGTTTCGGGTAAGCCTGAATAAAAGTCATCAATGCGGCGGACTTGATGCATCTTTTTGACACGCCACTTGAGCGGTGTGGAAAATGCTTAATTAAAAAATTGTTTAAATTATGACAAAAATTTTTGTGTGTTATTTAAGAGTGCCCTACTAAATCCCAAAAAGATTTATTTCACTGTATGGTGTATTTACTGTGAAAAAAAATGGTTAAAGATAAGCATAGTTTTTGGGCCGTTAAAGTGAAATGACCCCTTAATTTTCAGGTGTAAAAGCACTCGTGACGCCGAGTGTACACTTTGGTGTATGTATCAAACAATCGCCAAAAATCGCCTATTGCCGCAGGGAGGAATGTAGTAAAAATAAGATCGTCCTGGCTATCGCATTTTTTTCATTCTCGCAAAGACAGGAGGCATCATGTTACTTTCTTATCGAGTCTCTCTCTCTCTCTCTCTCTCTCTCTCTCTCTCTCTCTCTCTTATTTTTCAGCTGGTACTTAATTCA